GGTGGGGTGGCGTTTCATTTTTTGACACCCGGTGTATTTGATTCCACCCTTGTAATAAACCCCAGGGGTTGCCAGCCGTAGGTCCCTTGTCTCCCTACATGTCATATCGACACCTCACCCCCGAGGGGTAGGTGACTGCTAGGTAATTTGCTTTCTTATTTTCTCCGCGACGAGGCGTCCTTCCTCCTTCCTTCTCTCTCTCTCTCTCTCTCTTGCTTTCTTTGCCACTTTTCTCTTTCTTCGGCTCGCGCCCCAGCGTCTCGGTTGCAACCCCTATCGAAAAATGAGCCCCCCGCGCCCCGCCGGCTTCGCCTTTGGCAATTTTCTTTTGGCGAACGTGTAGAGACAGTGGAAATCCTGACGAGATCCCGGGTAGCGTCGGGTAGCTTTTGGTAAACAGGTGGAATCTGATTGATGGTTTCCCTGCAACCCCTTCCTCCGTTCTTCCCCGCCAGTTGCCGGTCGACTTTTTCTTTTCCGGTAGGATCCGAGGGTGGAATAATGGTCGAAGTTTGTTTTCTCGGGAAGGAAAGTTTCGGGCTGTTGCGTGCGAAGGTCGGCGCGGATACGGTTTCCACGTTCATGGCGGCGGCGTTCGTTGTTTCACGGAGAAGCATCGATGATTAGACGATGCAGTTCCTCGTCGAAACGCGATGTCCGCTGGTAGCTGTCGAGAAGCCCCGATTACGCGTCTGGCTACTAATCTGATTTCACCCGCCTCCAGACCGACAACTCCTTAGCGCTACTCCTTTGGTTTCTCTCGACAATCTTGTTACGTAGGATCGGCGCGGACTTGGAAACGTGGAGCCTTGCTGATGATAGACTTGCACAACATCCGCCCGAGCCGGAGAACTTATACGACGGCGGTGGGCCTTTTACAGACTGCTGTGGCTAGCGTCGCGATCTTTCTCCTAGCTTTCGTCGTCTCCCGGTGCATCTGGAACGACAGCCGATGGACGACTCGTAATGCAGATTTAGCTGAGATTTTATCAAGATCCGATGACCTTATTTGGGTCTATCGATGCGGAGGTTATATTTAGATTCGGGCAGATTCTTCGTTTATTCGCAAGATCGATACCATCTTGCCATGACATTTGCGATCACTTGTAATACAAAGTTGACCGAGGTTTAACTCAGATTCAAGACCATAGGCAACCGTGCTTAGATCAATTGACGCATAGTCTAGAGTTCGATAGATTCTACTTTGTCTACATATTCTTCCGAGACGAACGGTAACATTACCATCGTCGTTTAGCTTCACAATCTATAAAAAAGTCTGTTTGCAACCCTTGAACAGTAGCTGCATCAAAGACAAACAGTGACGTTAATATCGTCGTTTCAATCAAGATTTAGACAAGGCCTAGCGAAGACAAGAACAGACCGAAGTCTACATCATCCACATTCGGTAAAATAAATTGCACCCCCACAGCCGCAAAATCCACCCGCTTCTTTTTAATTCGGCAAACAGCATCGTCGCGATCGGCCCGCCAGCCCGGTTTGTAATTCCACGTTCTAGAACAACCGAGGTTACGAAAAGCCACCCCAACCCCGAGCAGCTAATAGATTCGATCCCATCGACGATCGTCAGCGAGAAGGCATATCGGGTCGAGGTTCACCGAGACTGTCATCGTCCGCAAGCATCGTGTCGTCGGTGCAACCCTTTGGGGATCGTCTCGGAATCCTGTTCGTTCCCCGAGCACCCCGCGCAGCCCCCGTCGGCTCGAGGGGAGGCAGCGCGAAGCCGCCGCGCCTGGCGTGGAAGTAGGGGACAAAACTCACCCTAAGAAGCCTTTAAGAACGCCAAGGCGGCCGGGAGGACCGGTTGGTGGGGTATAAAAGTGGCCGCATGCGCACACGCCAGTGAAAAACTGCGACCCGCCTCCGGCGCCGCCTCCCTATCGTCTCCGCGTCCCTTTTCCACCCCCGCGGCCGGTCCTCCCGCCGAGAGACCCGACCCCCCAGTCCCCCCAAGACGCGGTCGTCTTAGAGGACGAGCTGCGGCCTTTTTCGAGAATTGGCTTCGGCTAACATGTGCTAACCGTGTGTGATTACCTCCGGTTCGGGAAACGCAGCCACCCTCGAGTCACCCCCCTCGGCCCCCTTTCCTTGCCGCCCCCGTTTCCGCCGGCACCCGACGAAAGGGGACGCGCGACGCGCGACGCGGTTCCCGCGCGAAAATCAAAGTGCCACGTACCGCGGACACTCGCGGACCCGCGGTCTCTTCGTCGTCGCGGATCTTCGCCGGAACGTGGATCGTCGAGCCTGAATTTGTTGGATATTCGAGAGGATCGGAGAAGAGGACCGCGAAAGAGGAACGCTTCAGCGTGAGTTGCTCCGATATCTCTGGATGTTTGTATCCGGTTTGATTCTCTATCTCTCCACGGCTTTTTGCGCAGCTTTTTTCCCCTATTCAGGGGGCGAGCTTTTTTTCGGGGTGATTTTGTCGACGGTTTTCGGCGGGCAGCCGAGGGGGGTGGGTGCGTGGGTGGGCGAACGGGAGCACCAATTATTTCTTGCCGGGCACCGCGAGGGGAACGGGCGAGCGGCGAGCGGCGAGCAGCGAGCGAGCAACGACTGGCGTTGATCTAATTGGTCGCCAGTAGGTAATTGTTCGGTCCCGATAATTGGGCCAATTAATTTGTACGGAAAAGTGCGTCGATAATCGCCTAGCATTCACCGCCGCGATACCGATTATGTGGACCGTGTCGGATGCGGGTTGTGGAATATCGTTACCGTCGAAAGGGCGTTCGCCGCCCCGTGAGTGCGCCAAAACGGACAAAAAAGGATATGAAATAAAACGAACGGAGAACAAAAAAGGTGGAACCGGGGGGAAAATAGTTATCCGAGGAGAGGCCGCGGGGGGGAGACCGAAAAGGGGCGCGAAACCCCGGCCGGATGTAATCGAATATATTTTTCTTTTAATTGAAAAATATCGTCGCTGCGTTTCGGACTGGTAATTTTATGGCGACAGGATTTAATTACACGAAATCACGTCGAACCGGACGGTATAATTAAATACCTGTTCGTCACCGTGAAAAAGTGACGCGCGCCACCACCGTTCTACACGCGGCTACCGGTTTTTATTCGAAATATTCGATGCCTTCCGCGCCCCGGTTCTGCCCTCGAATTCTATTCGATTCGCGCCCGAGGGCCGCGAGACTTGCGAATTCGATCGGCGTTTGTCTCCAATTTCATTTTTCCGGCCCTTTTCTCGAGATCCCGCGAACGCGCCCGGAATTCTCCAGGTTCTCGCCTTCCAGAATTCATCCGCTATCGGCGGAAATACTCGATTTTTTTCTTTTTTTTCATATTCTCTACCCTGCGTTTTCCAAAGCGAAGTCGGGTCCATATTTATTTTACTTGGACGTGGCTGGACGTGGACATGGCGCGGCTGACAACGAGATTTGTCGTTTGTCATTACATTTATTTTTGATTCGTTCTTCCAGGTATTTATATCCCTTTTCTTCTTTACACTGCAACAGGGCCGTTTATTTGTCCGCATCGTCTTCTTCTTTCAATCGAAGATTCCTTCCAACGAACTTGGAGTATGATTCGAACGACGAGTCGTGTGAATAGGCTATTTCGCGAAGGTCAGAACGAGCAAGCAATTTCTTCGCCTGCTGGACAATGTTTTTCAGAGCAACGTGAAACAAAGCTACCTTTTTCTTCTCGATGCAACGAAGACATTGTCGATATTAATCTTTTCGAGATCGTAGCGAACGTTTTAATCGAATCGGTCCACGAACGACGTCACGCAATCGTCGGCCGAATGAATAACGATCACGGAATTACGGCGTTCCTTTTACCCGGCGGTCCTAAACAGAGTGGATAGGAACGCGTGTCGAAAACGGGGGCGAAAAAATGCAGGAACACTGGAAAAAAGGCGATGTATCGCCGGAGGGTCCGATGTATGACGAAATGCATCTCGGGAACGCGACATTTAGGGACGCGGAGGCGCTGCATTGTTACCCGTAGGGGTGTAGGATTATATGGGGTGGCCTCTCTCTCCCGTTCTGGGATCCTCGCGACTTGCTACAGATCCGTCATGATCGATAGTCTTTCGTCGTCTGTCGAAAGAGAAACGCGTCTATTCCGGCCCGAACTTAATTCCGACCAGTCCGGCCATCTTTCCTCTTCCGATCGCAGTCCCATCCTCGCGAGTGTCAGTGAAATTCTCTATTTTTTACCGTTCCTCCGGTTCTTCCTCGCCCTTTCGGCGGTACTCCGCGGTACTTTTATTTCCCATAATTTTGTTAGAGAAAACGGATGCCAGGATTCAGGCATCAGAGTTCCGGTAGACAAATTTAGCAGCTCCTCAAACATTTTACCTCTTCGTTTGTAACGCCGTGTTCCAAAATTATATTCAATCCTGGTGGAAGTTCAACGAACAACTTTGTTAGCCAGTTGTTTAAGTTTTCTACTTCTTCCTTTCTCACGTTTGGCTAAACATGCAGCGTTCATCGTTGAAAAGCATTCGAGCTACCTTCTGGGCTCGTCAGAGGACTGCATCTCGATTAAAAATTTATTTCGAAGAGACACATCGAGATCGGCAATGATCAAAAAATTGCCGGTGCTTCCGACGACCGCGGGTGATATCGGCGGATGGCGAAAGACATCGTCGAAACTCTGGGCAGCGATCTCGGTCGGCGTCGAACGCTTCGAAGCTCGGTCCCGCTCGCAATAACGATAATTGTGACCACTTGAAGGAGCTTCACCCTCGCAATCTGGCAAGATTCGTTTCTGTAGTCCGAGGCACGGGGGCACGGCGCGGCACGTATGACGGGGGCATTAAGACAAAGTGTGGCCCCCCCTCCTCGTCGCCCTCTGCGTCGCTCTCCCTCGGCGGGTCTCCGTTCCGCTCGTGCACCCTCGAACAGCCCCCAAGCATCGCGCAACCCCCTCCCCCGGCTGCCGACGTTGTCCCTCGGTGCTAAACGCAACTACACGAGGGACCTTTCTGCCGTCTTTGTTTTCCCTTTCTTCCCAGTGTCGTTTTGCAGTCTCGCGCGGGGAGGTCGTTGAACGACGGAAGCGGCGAGGACTCCGTGACAAGGGCCAAAAGGAACAGGAAAAAGAAAAGGAGAAAAGCGAACGGAAAAAGACCGGCCGAAGAAGACGGGGGAAGGAGCGTGGCGGCGAGGAACGGAGACGATCCGAGAACTCCGGCGTGGCCAGGCAAAGGGCGAAGCTCGTTATCGGTGTACCGTGGAACCGCAGCCTGCAAACGATCAGAGGGACTCGGTAATTACAGCCCGGAGAGTCCTCTTTTTTTTCTTCCGGCGAAACCGCAGGGAAACGCTGCGAAGGGTGGCTTCCGGAATTTCGTCGCGCCGCGACCTTCGGCCGGAGAAGATCTTGACGTCTCAAGCAGGGTCCAAGCGTAAAGTCCGTCGGACGACTGTCGAATCCATCGATCGCGATCTCGTCGATCCTCGTTCGATCGGGGTCCAAGAACACTGCTGCGACCGCTGGCAGCTGTGTTTTGGAAATGTTGACTTGTTGCATACCTGATTGGCTCGAAGGATGGTTCGGACACGGTCGTACGACCATGTATACGACGGAGGTCGTACGAAGATGGAGGTCGTCGGGGGACCTGTAAACAGTGATCGAACACAGCGAAGACATCGTCCCAACCTTCGACTGGAGAATATGTGTAGACCGTTTCAACGATTTCGTTATCGCTTAGGGAGATTGGCTTACGGTTATTATACAACGTATAATTGAGCCACGACCTGTCTCCGCGAAGAACTTCTAAACGGTTATCGAACGATGCAGAGTTTTCGAATTAGCGACACGTACAGTGCTCTTCTCCGTACAAACGATCCCAGTTATTTCTCAGTGTCGATGAACTTGGGACCCACAAAAGGGGAAGCAGCTCGCATCAGTGCCGCGAGCCAGTGCAACCGATCGCCTGCTTCCAATCGTTCCTTCATCGTCGAACTGCCCCGATTTTATGGCACTTTCGGGATCGCCGAGTCAAGGTGGTCAAAGTGTTGATCGTGCGAAGAGCAAAGCGTCGATCTTGAACGCTCTCTGAACAAGATGAAGCGTGCGATCAGTGACCACGAGTGCGCGGAGGCGACAGAGCCACCACCGATCGGATTCCGACGATCGCGAAATCAGAGGAGACACCGCGAGCCGGGAGCTCCGCGTCCGTGACAGTGTTCCGTGCGAGCGGTTCCTGTTCGGCTCTCTAATCTATTTCTAGAGACATAGACAGAGAGCCATAGACACGCTGCCTGTGTTGGTGAACCGTTCCCGTTCCCGAAAAAAGCATTGTGCACGGGGATTCGAATTACAGTGACTACGCGAAAAGAAATTCCAGATCCCATTCAGAAGAATCTTCCGGCCGAAAGACATTCCTCCGCGATTCTTCCGATCCTGCGGCAACAGGAGGGCCAGAGCGCGGGGCGGAAGAACGACGAGCAGATAGATAGATAGAGAGATACAGAGAGCGAGAGAGAGAGAAAAAGAGGGAGAGAGAGAGCGAGAGGGAGAGACAAACACAGAGAAGGAGAGAGGCAGAGGGGAAGGGGGTAGAGAAGGGGGTGTTGTCATCGGGTAGTCGCGATCAGCAGGAGCAGCATCAGGATCGCGGAAGAGGGTGCAGCAGGAGAGAGAGATTTTTCCCCACCGCTTGGAAAAACCGACCCCCACCAGCTCTCTCTCGGCTAGCACGGCCAGGCGGCGGTGGCGGCGGCGTGGAAAGAGAGAGCGCGCGAGAGAGAGAGGGAGAGGGAGGGAGAGAGAGAGAGAGAGCCACGGAGGGGTAGGTTACCCAGGGTGGTCTCGGTGGTGGCTGGGGGCGGCAGCCTCAAAAATACACCGCAACCACACCGCGCGGCTCCACCGCAGAAGCCGCCATCTTCCACCGCCGAACCGAAACGAGACCGCGCGAGTTAAACACCCTATCCTACTTCCCCGTGGAAGTTGCCGCTGCCGCTGCCGCCGAGCCAGCGACCACCAAGAAGTGTCCTTCGCTGTACGCCGTGGCACTGGTCGGCTGTCAGTCAGCGGATCGGCCAGAAAAACTTGCGACTCGTCCGCGCTCTTCGAACGGCGCGGATCAGCAACGTGACAGGCGTCGAGTGACGGGACATCGAGTGACAGTTTCGACGAAGGATTCCTCCGCGTCCGGGATCGACGAGCCGCGAGACGGTGTTCGAGTTCGCGGAGGACCGTCGAAAGGGTGCGACGAGCTGTTTCGAAGAATTTACGCGGAAACGTTGTTTTCGGTGTTCGAAGAGAGTTTAGACCGCGTGGTCCACTGTCGGCGACCGGAGAGGGGACAGAGCGAGATGATTTAGCGAGGGACGATGGTGTCTACGTGGGGTCAGTGTTGTTCCGCGGGACTCGATGATCCGGGGTCCGGAGTTAACACCTGTTAGAGGGTGTCGGTGTGGTTATTAGCGGTTGATCGAGGCCGCGTGTTCTTCCGATGTCTCTCGACTCGGAGGACGATTGAACGCGATTGCAAAAGTGGCCGAGGACTTGGCGGCGGGGCAGACGATCAAAGAAATCGCGGGACGGGGGAAGAGGGACGAGGGGCCGACCCGACGTCGGTTCCAATAAAACGAATTTTCCCCGCGACTTGGCAATCGAGACGAGGAAGAATTTGCAAACGGCTGCCGCTGCCCCCGGCCCCGGTAGCGGGATAATGAAATAAGGATCAAAGGGCCGCGTCCTTGGGCCGCCACGCGGAGCCGCGCGTGCCGCCGCCGAGCGTGTGTGCTCGCCGAGAAGAATGCGTCGATCGTGATCCGCGCGCTTTATCGGCTTAATTAACTACCGACTTCCGGCTCGTCGGTTCCACGAATATCGGGAACGTCAGAACTCGTCGAGGACCGGACATATTCTTGGAGACATTGTTCGAGTGTCCAGTGAGTCGACTTTGTTCGTTTCGGTTCGGTTCGGTTCGGGGTTTCGTGTTTGAGTTTCGGAGTGAAAGGTTCGGGAAGAAGATTGAATCGAACGAGAGGCGGGTTGTCGAAGAGCCCGAGGACATTCCGAAGGAAGAGACCGATGATCCCGTGCTCATGACGAATCCTTTACGAGATGCGCGCCCCGAGGATCGGCCTCCAGGCTTAGACTATCCTGACCCGAGGCTGCTGAGGAACGGCCACCAGGCTCACCAAGCGAACTCGGTGCATCAGATCGGTGGGCCGAGGATACGAAGGACCAGGACATCGTCTCTGAGAAGAAGGATGCACCTGGCCAACGAGGTCCCGCCGCAAGGAACCGCCGCTGTCAACAACTTGTCCGATTATGCCCTCACCGCGGACCTGCTCGCCGAGAGGACCTTGGATGGACTGTTCGCCGAGCATCCTGGCGAACTGGTGCGGACAGGTGAGACGGAACGTGATCTTTTAAACATTCGTCACTCTGTCCTTCGATTCTTGGAGCTCTTCGTTGGTTAATTTTGAAGAAATTCTGTTCTGCGTGCTTCGTTCCACGATCGACCTCGACGTATTTCTTTAGAGTTCACGAAGGAAACTCGAGAATCTTGTCTATTTTGCCTTATTTTATTGACGAAAAATTATGGACGGACACAGCTAACACCGAGCAACCGTTTTCACGTTGAAAACGAGCTCGTTCCTCGTTACGATTTCGGGAGATTATTTTGAAACTACACTTACTTTTTTCGGCAGATATATACGCGACATTTTTCAATGAAAATTTAGTACAATCTGCGCAGCAGAGGCTTTATAAAATAGTTGATAAACGCAATTGTTAAAAATTGTCGAGCAATCCCGGATTTATTCTCGAATAGAATGTTCGGTTAATCTTTTGGTTAGCGCGTTACGGGAGCGATCGCGATGGGTATTGACGATTTGGCAATGGTGTTCGTCGACAGGCTCCCCGCACGTGGTTTGCACGGTGCTACCAGCACACTGGAGGTCGAACAAGACGCTTCCGGTAGCGTTTAAAGTGGTAGCTCTGGGCGAGGTCGGTGACGGGACACTGGTGACGGTGCGTGCAGGCAACGACGAGAATTGCTGTGCAGAATTGCGGAATTCCACCGCGGTGATGAAGAACCAGGTCGCGAAATTCAACGACCTGAGGTTCGTCGGCAGAAGCGGTCGAGGTAAGATATTTTTGCCCTTTGTGTCCACGTCGCGAGCCAGACGGCTCAAACTGCAGCGAATCTGCCGCAGATTTGATTCCAACTTCGTTCAAACTCGATTCAAACCAAGAGTGGACCTAATTCTAGCTCAATTCGAAGTCTAACTCAATTTCAACGTGGTTCACACTTGACTCGAGTGAAAAGCAAGCCTGACACGGGTTCGGTTTAAACTGCGGTAACATCGCATTGATTCAAACCTTTCCAAACCTTTACAAATTCAGATTTAATTTTGACGCACGTCGAACTTGGATCAACCCGAAGCCCACAATTAACCGACACCTATCTAAGATCAATTTATCCAAGTTCGAACAGAATTTGAACCCGACCAGGAAGTAGTCGAACGTTCTCAAACTTGAATCAGTTCAGATCCAATCGAAATCCGATCTACGCATTCGGATCAATCCGAAATCTACGTTTGCCTGGAACCTAATTCTTCGTCCAACAGCTTCCGCTTTAGAGTTCCGACAAGCCCTCTTAAAAGAACAGCTTTCCTCGCGATTTCTTTTCCGGTATCCCAGCTATCCCATTACCAGACAACCAAACAATTACCCTAAGGACACGGTGTAGGGCAGGGGGTGCAGCCGAGAAGGGCGATCGAAAAGCGTGCGTCGATCGCTCGTTCGCAGCTCGAAGAAAGCTTTCCAGGTCGGCTGTTGTTAAATGATTCAGGGGTCGGTACATTAAGTCGGTGGGCCGACTGATGGCCTCGTTTTTCCTTGGACGGGGCGAGCGTAGCCCACCTGGCCCCCTCGTTTCATCCTCATTTTTAATTCACCCGGCAAATACCGTGACTCGATATCTCGGCCGTCGCCTTTCGTCGTCGTCGCCGTCGTCGCGTCGCGGAGATTTTTTAATTCCCGCCTCTCCGCGTTTCAATAATTCAGCGTTCCTTGAGTCCCGCGGAAAAAGGAGAACGACCTACGGAGAAGGAGGACCGTGGAAGCCGGAGCCAGCACCCGATATCACTGGAAAGAGAAAAATCAAGAGCGGGGAACGTTCCGTGGGTCTCTGAATAATGCGCGCCAATAATCGCCGCCATTACGGACGCTTAATGCAAACGTTTCTCGCAGGATGTTCTCTTAGCCCCCGCGATCCCCCTTCTTCGTCTTCCTCTCCCTCTCGTTCTTCTTCTTCTTCTTCTTCTTCTTTCGGTCTCCGTCTCCTTTTTTTTCAACCCCTAGCCGACCGTCGAGGGTGGTAAGGATCGGCAGAGATACGAGTAACGAGGCGTCCTTTAATTCCTTTAATTCGACCGAGTTGCACCGACGCGACATCCCACCCCCGGCCACCCTCGTCCCTTCTTCGACTTCTTCTTCGCGACTTTCAAGAGAACAGTCACGAACCTGGTAGTCGGTTAACGAGGGGCTGCGCTGGTCGGGCTTGTTTATGGCAAATTGGAAAAGGAAATTGCGGGGTCCGCGATATCGACGATCTTCTTCCTCTTCTTCGACGTCTGCCACCCCCTGCGCCTAGGGGGCGAGAGTTAAACGGCGGCGGTTTAAGTGGCGTCCTTTTTTTCGCCGTCTAGGGAGAGGCTGCGTAAATTTGTAAATATTTTTACGATCTTTCCGGAGGCTGATCGGCCTCCGGAGTTGTTTACGGAGAACGGCGCGCACTGTTTTTCCGGGATCGTCTCGTCACTTAGGGGGTCGTTAAAGGCGGTGGCTCACCGGAGATCACTGGTTCTGGGCTCGGAAGAGCCCGCAGCACGGTCCCGACACGATCCCGCGGCGGAAATATTTCCGGCAGATTGGAATATCGGCGTTTCCCGGACACGCGGAAAACAATCTTGCATGATCCGTCACCCTCATAGAGGTTCTAGAGGCAAATCGTTGCGTACGGCTGGTAGTTAGGGGCTGCCCGTAATACAGTAATGAGGGCTTACTGCCATGGAAACCAAAGCCGCTTACAGCCAACCACTCTACTCCCATCCACCCACACCCACCCATCGGCCTACGCCGCCCACCCCTCGCGGCCACCCACCCGGCGAGAGAGCGCCGTTCTATTCCGTGATTCCCTATATATCCGCGATATCCTCCTCATTCGACGAATTTTCCCGAAAAACTTGTGAAAACCGTTCGACGGTCTTGATTGTTCCGCGACAAGGGTCGCTTCCACGCGGGGAGGGCCAAGATCGAACGAGGGTTCGTGGAACGACCAGAGATTATTAGGCGAGTTTGCTTCTCGCGGATAACTTTCGAAGATGCAGTTCACATCGATGCAGGCTTTTATTTCCCAAATATTTTTGATAGCGCGTTTCTATTTAATTTTCTATTTAATCGACGCGGATTCGACGAATTTTTAGCGAAATATTTCCAAATAACTGACACCTCGTACTCTCACCTGTATCAAATTATTCATAGAACAACCACCGATTTAATATCGTCCACTTTGCTTTTTAATAATCCCCGGTCTAGCGATAATAAATACCAAAGAAGTTACTGGAAGGTTTCAGCTACGCTGGCAGTCGTGAAACTTTGATTTCGTTTATAATTTCACTGCGTGAATAGCGAAATTTAAGCCGTCGTTTGTGCGTTATTTAATTCAACGAATAAAATATAACTTGCATTGTTGCTAGCGCGAGAAGAGAGCCGGACAACAATGACTTAATCCAGCCAATTATCTCACCTCTGACCCGTTGCCTTCTAGCGCCATTAACCAAATCGAAATAAAATTCGGTCATTTCGTAATCGATATTCGACCGTCCCAATTCAGTATATAATATGGTATATCGAAATCTCCATGTACCTACGCGAATCCCCTTTAAACGAGGTTCAAAGTGTTCAACGAAGGTAGCACGAGCGGGTGTTAGCCGTTGAAAAAGAAGGTCCTAAAGCGAAGCGTGGGAAAAGGGAAAACGTCGGTCCGTCTACCAGCAGAACAATTTGCGCGATCCGGCGATCGTTGCCGATCACCGATAAAGCGAGGCCAGGGGTGGCCGAACGGGCTGTAGAGGGCAATCGTTATCGTCTACGGAGCCCGGCAAACAGATTTGCTAAATAAATCGAAAATTTATGATGTTTGCCAGGGAGTCACGTCGCGTATCCGCGCATAATACCGCTCGGAGACGAGTCGTTGGCAGCGGCCGCGACCGCGGCGGCGGCGGCAGCGGCAGCGGCAGCGGCCGCTTCATATACCGATTCCGTGTACATTTTTCCCCGTTTTTTCGCCTCCGTTATTTTGCACGCGGCCCACGCGCACTGACCATTTTGGGGCAAATATTTGTTCCATGCTCGCTCGCGGCCGTCCCCATGCCAATTTAATATCGCGAATGCGGATGAGGAATGATTTTAGTCGAGATGAGCGGTGAGAGCGTTGCTCGAAAAATTGAAATGAGCCGCCGCCTGGACCACAGATTCTACCATGTCCCGCGCCGCCCCACCCCCCTCGTTCGTATCCAACACCTCTTAATCGGCCGATAGTTTCACGGTAAAAAGGCCGCGTAGAATCGGTGTTAATCGATTACTGTTCCCGTCGAACCGCGCGCGTCCCATTTTCCCGCCGCGAAGATTCGCCGTCGATTACCTTCGCGATTCCATCGCTCTCAGAAACTGTGCGCCGTCGGTGAAATTTTCACCCCCTCGGTGAAATTTCTGGCTGTGCAACATCGAGCCCGGACTGCTTGTCTTTAACTCGTTACGAATTCGTTCTGGACCGAGATCGAATTCCATTTACTTGTTACCGATATCCGATCGTTAAACGTCGGCCCACGATGAATATAAATTTCCTTTTCCTGTCTGACACGTCGATTGCCCTGCTGCGCACTAAATTTGACAAGCCTCGGCAGAATGCAGGATGGTTAAAGGTGTGCTCGATAATTAAATTTTCAATTTCTATTTCATCGAGCGCATTAATTCAATGCCTCGGAAGTCTTGAGGTCGCCTAGTTGGCGGACGATCCTTCTAGAAAATTAGCCGAGAGAAGATCGAAACGAATCGATCGTCTCGAATAAACGAGAAATAAGGAAGGAAGAAAGGGAGGAAGAAAGAAAGGAAGAAAGAAAGAAAGAAAGAAAGGAAGAAAGGAAGGAAGGAAGGAAGGAAGGCCAGTCTCAGGGTTGCCCGACTTCCGGTCGCGCCGCTGAGAATTCATGGTTCGGCGAGAAGTGGCAGGCGTGAAAGTGTCGGCAGGGCCCCGTAGTCCTGCTGACAAGTCCCAGAGACGATACAGAGCCGGTGTCTCCGCGTTGGCAGCGGGGTTTCATCGTTGCGCGATGGAAGAGTCGCTCGACGCTGGCGTCGCTGGCAGAGTCGCGAAACAAAAGGGCGGTCTTGCGGAGATGGGGGCGCGCCGCGGGGGCAGGGAGGGAGAATATTATCATAGCGGCGCAGAGGCGTATATCACTCGGCCACCCCTTTCGTTCCCCGACAGGGATTAGCGTCAGGCTCCGACTGCTAGGAGTCACGAGGCAGCGGCGAGACGCGAGCTTGTGCGCGCGTATGTAGGTTTTGGCTGCGCTGGGAGCCGGTGGCCAGCGACGCCCGTAAAAACGACGGACATAAATACCGGAGTTACCTGTGTTTTATGACGTGCCCAGGCCCCGAGGTATACGCGACGCAGGAGAGCGCGAGAATCCGAGGCAAAGCTCGAGCTATCGACAGCCAGATCCTGACCGATGTCCTCGCGCAATGGATTCTACGCGTCTCGCCCCCGTCCTCGAATCTGCGACCCCTCGGATCCGCGTCCCAACCCACCCCGCGATACCGACGCTTTTTAGATCGTGATTCACGCGATTTTCTTCCATCCCTCGCCGCTTCTCTCGATCCCTTGATCTTCGAGCTTGTTTACCGATTCCGAGAACTTCGGCCCCTCTCCGATGCTGAGTTACCGTTGCTGCATTCTCGGATTAGGAGCCGTTAGGTCGCGAGGAAAATCATTTCGAACGGTGCTTTCAGCTCTCTCTCTCGTCGAAGATCCTCCGATCTACGTTTTACTCTTTACGCAGCGATTTCTCAGGGTGT